CGAGGTGGGAGGATCACTTGAGGTCAGGAATTTGAGACCAACTTGGCCAACATGGTGAAACCCCATCTCTACTAAAAATACAAAAAATTAGTTGGGCATGTTAATTCATGCCTGTGGTCCCAGCTACTTGGGAGGCTGAGGCAGGAGAATACTTGAACCTGGGAGGTGGAGGTTGCAGAGAGCCAAGATCATGCCACTGCACTCCAGCCTGGGTGACAGAGCAAGACTCCACCTACACACACACACACACACACACACACACACACACACACACCCACACCCCCAAGAAAAACCTAGAACCAAATGACTTCACTGGAGAATTCTACCAAACATTTAAAGAAGAATTAATACCAATCCTCCCGAAACTCTTACAAATGTTGAAAAGGAGGAACATTTCCAAGTTTATTCTATGAGACCCATATTATCCTAATGCCAAAGTCAGGCAAAGACACTCCAAGAAAACTATAGAACAATATTCCTGGTGAATATTGATGCAAAAATCCTCAACAAAATACTAGCAAACTGAATTAAATACATTAAAAGGATTTAATTAAATACATTAAAAGGATTAGATACTATGATCAAGAGGGATTTATTCCTGGAATACAAGAATGGTTCAACATATAAAAATCAATCAATGTAATACACCAAATTAACAGAATGAAGGGCAAAAATCACATGATAATCTAAATTGAGGCAGAGAAAGCATGACAAGATTCAACACCCTTTCATGGTTAAAAAAACAACAATTCAACAAATGCAGAAGAGAAGAAAACTACCTTCACATCATAAAGTCCACATGTGAAAAGCCCATAGCTCATCATACTCAATAGTGAAAGACTGCAGGCTTTTCCTCTAAGATCAGAAATAAGGCAAGCTGTCTGCTCTGCCACTTCTACTCAATATAGTTTTGCAAGTCCTAGTCAGAGCAATGGGGCAAGAAAGAAAGAAAAGGCATTCAAATCAGAAAGGAGATGTAAAATGATCTGCTTGCAGATGACATGATCTTAGACGTAGAAAACCCTATAAGATCACATGATCTCACACACACACACACACACACACACACACACACACACAAACTAATAAATGAATTCATTAAAGTTGCAGGATACAAAATTAACACACCAAGATCAGTTGAATCTCTATACACTAACAATGAACAATCCTAAATGGAATTTTTAGAATTCCATTTATAAAACCATCAAAAAGAAAAAAATGTTTAGAAATAGGCCTAACCAAGATGAAAAGCTACACTGAAAACTACAAAACACTGTTAAAAGAAATTAAAGACACAAACAAATGGAAAAAACATCCTATGTTCATGGAGTGGAAGATTTAATATTGTTAAGATGCTCATACTACCCAAAGTGACAGATTTAAACACAAGCCCTATAAAAATCTCAATAGCCTTTCTTGTAGAAAAATTTATCCTAAAATTCATATGGAATCTCAACAGACACCAAACAGCCAAAACAGTCTTGAAAAAGAAGCGCAAAGTTCAAAGACTCATACCTCCTGATTTCAAAACATATTTCAAAGCTACAGTAATCAAAACAGCATGGTAATGGCATACAGACAGACAAATAGAGCAATGGAAAAGAATAGAATGCTCAGAAATAAACCCTTGTGTATATGGTCAAATGATTTTCAACAAAGATGCAAAGACTTCTTGATGGGAAAAGGACAATTTCTTCAGAAAACAGTGCTGGGAAAACTGGATATTCACAGGCAAAAGAATGAAGTTGGACCCTTATCTTATACCATATACAAAAATTAATTCAATATGGGTTAAAGACCTAAACATAACACCCAAAACTATAACACTCCTAGAAGAAAACATGAGAAAAAAGCTACATGATATCGAACCTGGCAATGATTTCTTGGATATGATCCCTTTCTGCATCAAAGGTCACAATGAGTGAAAAGGCAACGTACAGAACTGAAGAAAATATCTGCAAATTACATATCTGATAAGGGGTCAATATCCAGAATATATAAAGAACTCCTATATCTCCACAACAATAAATTAAATAACCTGATTTAAAGATAGGCAAAGGACTTGAATAGACATTTCTCCAAAGAAGGTACACAAGTGGCCAAAAAGTCCATGAAAACATGCTCACCACGGATAAACAAAATGTGGCATAAAAATACAACAGAATATTACCGTAGTCCAGCCTTAAAAAGGATGGAAATCCAGTCACATGCCACAACCTTAAGGTCATTATACTAACTGAAAGAAGCCCGCCACAAAAAGACAGAAACTGCATGATTTCACTTATACGAGTCAAATTCATAAAAACAGAAAGTAGAATGGTGGTCACTAGGGCTGGAGGAAGGGGGAAATGAAGCCTTGTTGCTCAATGGGTATAGATTTGCAAGATGAAAAAGATCTATAAGTCAATTAGATCAATTTCACAACAATGTGAATATACTTAACAGTGTTGAACTATTCACTTAAAAGTGATTAAGATCAACAACAGCAACAACAAAAAGAACAAAAAAAATGGTGAAGATAGTCAAATTTTTTTGCCACAATAAAAAAGCCATAATTCAGATAATCAGGAAAAACCAAACACTAAATCTTTACAGTTCATTACATCTGAATCCTGTACTCGCTTGTAACAGATACAGCTACTTAATACTCAGACAGTGCAAAGAACACTTCTTTAAAGAGGTCGAAAATCTGCCTACTAGCCCCAGATCTCCCAACTAGCCATTAGATGACATTCAAGAATCACTGGTGATTTCATTGGCTATGATAATGACTTATAGATATGCTTTTTGAAAAAGGATTCATACTGAAGTAATTTTGGGGTAACACTATGCTTTCTAAGATTTATGTTAATATACTCCAGCCAAAAAATAAAGAGTACGGGTGGGGCAGGGGTAGCTGAGAAAGGATGGCAGATGGTCTCATCATCCTTGTTGAAGCTGGGAGACAGGTACATGTATGAAAAATTTAAAACCAACCAAACCAAAGAGGGAAAAAAAGCAGGGATGGGTATTGGGAATGAATGGCAGCAGGATTAATTTATTGAGATTTTATAACAGCATCATATACTAGAGATGCTATTGCTAATCTTCAAAAAGCACTGCATTTCAATTTGCATCTAACAGATTACAAATAAAGAAACAAATGAAATTAAAAGAACGATCAAGCTTCAAGTAATGTTTCTCACCGCCTCCCTCAACCACAAACAAAAAAATAGGTCAATGGTTGAACAGACAAGTAAAGGTATCATGGAGAGCTGCCCACCAGGGCCAGAATCTGGACAGCGATGGAGAAATTTCTGCTGAAAAACTGTCCACCAAGTCAGGGAATACAGCCCAGATAGGAGAGGGTGTTGATGATGTTTCTCAGATACATAGGATGGACCTGTTTTCTTTCTGCTAACAGAAAGCAATCAGTCAAGCAAGGACTTCAGAGTGGATGAAGGGTACGTAATACCACACAATGACGGCATTCAAGAGAAAGAAAAGAGAGAAGGATGCAGAATTGTTTTAAAAATAGGACTTCATGAAAGCTAATTTCATCAAGCCCAGGTCACTGATGAGAAAGACGCAAAATCAAGAAACCAGTGAAATAACACGTAACGGGTGAGTCACACGCTGCCAGCGGCACCAAGCTGCGCAAGTGAAATGGCACCATCTAGCCCGCCTGGTGAAATCCAAAGCGAGAACTGAAAGGGAGTAAGGATGCTTCACAAAATGAGGTTGTGTCACAAGAAAAGTGATTTTGGAAGGACAGTGGATAGAAAAAAAAAAATAAGGAAACCACCAAAATGTTAACTCAAAGACACATTTTAAACTGCATGGGATGACCCACTGTCAATACCTTGGCTTCCTGAGAACAAAAAGGGGGGTCTCCAGATCCCCCCGAACCCCACTATACACCAGGGGGACAAGGAGGAAAGGAGGAAACCCCCTTTGCCTGCTAGGATGCACGTGAGGGGAGGAAGGCAAACTCCCAGCAGCTGCTGCTGTGACATATCACCAGCCCCAGCAGGAGGCACCTCGCTGCCCACTCGTTCCCCAGGACTGGCTGCTCCATGAATCCTCTGGGCACCTGTGCCCAACATAGTTCCTTAGCAAGCCCCACTGGAACATTGAAAAATTAACATAACACTGTTTACTGTGTACACTGTGCCATGTGGAGCTCATGCACGAGGCTTGGTGGATCCCTCCTGACAAAACAATCTTGAGGTAGATACGGTAATTATCCCCATTTTAGGGTTGATGGAAACCAAGGCTCAGTGCGGGAAGGTCACCCACTCGACGCTGTCCAATGAGTGAGCAGCAGGGTGAGCCTCTCCGGTCACAGCCAGCGTCTTCCTTCCCCAATGGAGGAAGACTTTCCATCCCAAGCTTAAATCACCCAGCAGGAAACAGGCCCGGCTCTGTCTTCTCAGTGAGGCCTTTTCTAACACAAGGGCTCATCGCCATCTCAGCATCAAAGGGTCTGTTGCTTCTGGCACAAGGGCCAGGCCAACAGGGCTGGAGTCACTCCGGACATCGTAATACCTGCCTGTTTTTCTGTGGGTCTAGAAGCCAGCGGGAATGGTCTTACCATTTTGTGGCCAGAGCCTACCGCCAGCTCTTAAAGGGTCAGGCAAGTGGGTTGGAAGCCACCTAGCAGGAAGAACAGTCCCTGCATTCCACAGCCAGGCCCAGGGAGGGGAGCCCGCAGGCCCTGCCCAGGCACACAGCACGGCCACTCCCAAGCAGGCCTCATCTTCCCCTCTTGCCAAGAGAGAACCCAGCTGCTGACAGAAAAATCAAACCCAAACCCGGGGTCGGAGGTAGAGGGTTCCTTTCCTGACTCTCCTTCAAATGGAAGACGCCCTGCACTGAAACTAGCTGACTCCCTTCCAGGCTGCGATCCCTGTAAGTTGAAATCAGCCTCAAGCAAACCACATTGGAAGAGCATTGGCTCCTAGGCCCTTGTTTGTCCTTTGGACTGTTCACTGGTGAACTGCATTTGAATCCTCACTCACCTGCAACAGACGCAGCTGCTTAATCACCACGTGGAAAAGCAAGTGGGAAAGCACAGCTTTCAGTGGGAGGCAAAAGGCCTGGTTTCTAGCCCCAAATCTCCTGCACACCTTGGCATACTGCCTATGCCCTATCTCACTTTGCCTTGGTTTCCTCATCTCCAACTAGGGAAAAGCAGCCTGTCCCCAGTTTGCTCCCCCAAGGGTTGTATAAAATGAGATGAGGGAGGCAAAGCTCTCTGAACTCCTAAGCAGCAATGTTCCCATCACCACGTGGCGCTCAATGTTCTTCTCCCCCGACCTTGCCCCCAAAGGCCCAGGAGCACAGACAGTTACACAGCATCCCTCAAGCCCTGGAACAGGAGGAGCTGTGCATTCCAGTGGATGTTGCTGATGCCCTCCATAGAGGTGATCCTGACAGAACCAGAGGAAAAGAAAATATTCCTCTCTAGCAGCCAGAGGGCCCTTCCATCTTGCCTGTTCTCCCAAATTACCTGGCAACACTGCTCTTCCCCAGAAAGGCTCTGGATCAATGATTCTGGAAACCACCTAAGTCCTAAAGACGATTTTAAAACACCAGGAGGAAAATGCTCCTGCTCCCCCTGGCCCTGCTTTCTAAATGTATTCCTTTTTAGCAACCCCGAGGGGAGGTTCATCCCTGGGAGCTCTGCAGGAGAAGGTCTCCATCCCATACCATCTTGAAAATAGAGGGGAATACTCATATATGTGACCTTAGTGATCTCACAAGTGCATCAGAAAAAGCAACTGGCCAAGGAAACTCGTTGAACCAGCCTGAAAATGCCAGGCAGCCCCACCGTAAGTCACCGTTTGGGTCAGGCTTGTGACCGAGCGTGTGGGCAAGGTTGGGTGGACCAGGCTGGAGGGGAAAAGCAGGCAAACCACTCTGAAGCAGGACGGAGGGTCAAGGGCGAGGGCAAGGGCAGGGCAGAGGTGCGCAGGGCAGGGCCAGTTCAGGAAGCCCGTCGCAGGATGAGCTCTGTGATCTCCGCCCTGCTACCCAACCTCATGGGTATCCCGTAGTAGGCTGTGCCTGGGCTGACATATACAAACGTGGCCTGGGCCACTTGGTAGAGACCAGCAAAGAAGGGATTCAGGAGATAGGCTGCTACATTCAAGGGGAAGATCTGTCCAGCATGTGTGTGCCCAGAAAGGATGAGGTTAATATCTGGCCGGGCCTGGAGAGCTCTCTTGGCAGCCAGAGGCTGGTGAGCTAGCAAGATGATCGTGTGGTCCGGGCTGCAGCCCTCCAGGGCCTTGTCGAGATCCATGCCATGGCCAGAGTAGTGCAGGATGTCTGCTTCAATATCATCCACCCCAGCCAGGCAGATCCAGTCCTCGTCCTCACTCCCACCGCCACTGCCACCACCAACACGTTGGGCCCGGGTGGCGGAAATCTTCACGTTCTCATTATGAAGAGGCCGGACGTGCAGGGACTCCAGCAGTGCAAACCAGTTGCTGACATCCGACGTGTAGTACTCATGATTGCCTGTGACGAAGTAGGCGCCGAGACGTGACTGAAGCTGCTCCAGAGGAGTGACAGCTGTCCGCAGGACCGAGGCTTCTGAGTCGGAGAGGTCACCCACGATCACGGTGATGTCTGGTTCCAGCACATTCACCATCCTCACAAACATCTCCATCTTGGTCCTGCCCACTGTGGGGCCCAAGTGAATGTCTGAGAGGAGCACGATCTTGAGGTTGTTCATTGAGGTGGGCAGCTGATGGATGGGCACCTCCACAGTCTTCACCGCCGGGGGCTGCGCGGCATTCAGAATCCCTGCCACGCTAAGCACAGCTGTCACTCCCACTGCCAAGGCAGGCCTGAGCACCAGCTTCCTTGTCTTGTCAAGGCTGCCCACGACCCTACCACTGCGCCAGGCCAAGAGCTGGTAGGCCTGCTCCATGCCGCTGAGGATGCAGAGGAAGAAGAGCATGATGATGTAGGCACCCAGGCAGGAGTAGGCTGCCAAGGAAAACAGATAAGGCTCCTCGGCCACTAAAAAGAACATGGTGAAGAAACTGGAATGGGCCAGGGCCAGAAATGCCAGAACCACCACCTTCCAAAGCTGAAAACAGGTTGACTCCGCAGCTGGGGAGTGGCAGAGATTGCTGACCGTGCTGCGCCAAATGTAGAGGGAGCCAATGAGCATGAGCGAGTTGACAAACAGGGCAAGCTGCAAGCGAAGCAGCCAACGCCAGGCCCTGAGCTCGAGGCTCTCTGCCAGAAAAGAGCGGGAGGCGATCATGGACACGAAGACAGTGACGGCGGCCAGGGTGGCCTTTGTGCCTAGGGACAGCTGCCTGAAGATGGTCATTTTCTCTGCTCCTAGAGGCTCCCCCACCAGTTCGTGCAGGTGGACTGTGGAAATGAGTGGCCAAGGAGAGGTTTCCAGGTCAACTCCGCCTGCAACCAGGAACCAGCATCAGCTTTGTGGGATATTAGAGTGTCCTTGTACCCATTCAAAACTCAAAGGCCACTTACATGTGGCCAACCCACCTGGGGAATCCAAGCCACTCAAATACCGGTCAGTTACTAGCTATACTTTATTATTCAAAAAGAAACTCACAGGATTGTGACATGATGGGCAGTTTTCATTTTCTTACCACATTTTCTATACGTTTAAAGTTTCTCTACAGTGAGCACAAACTGGTTTTATAAAAACATTCCAAATCAGTGGTATTCAAAGTGTGGTATTTAGTCAAAACTGTTTTTATTATAATTCTAAGCCATTACTGCCTGTCCCACTCTCACTCTGTCCTGAGGGTGCAGTTTTCCAGTGACATGTGACATGTGATATGGCAACAGATTGAATGCAGAAATAAACATGAAAATCTCACTGTCTTCTATTAAGAGACATTGAAAGAGATTTGCAGAAATGTAAAACAGTACAACTCTGCACCCTAAAATTTGGGGAGAAATACTGTTGTTTTTCAAATATATTTATTGCTTGTTCATGTGTAATGATGTATTATTTATTAACAAATAGTTTTACATGTTCTCTAGGGCTGGGCACACTGGCTCACACCTGTAATCCCAGCTCTTTGGGAGGCTGAGGCAGGCAGATCACCTGAGGTCAGGAGTTCAAGACCAGCCTGGCCAACACAGTAAACCCTGACTCTACTAAAAATTCAGAAATTAGCCAGGCCTGGTGGCAGGTACCTGTAATCCCAGCTACTCAGGAGGCTGAGGTAGGAGAATCGCTTGAACATGGGAGGTGGAAGTTAAAGAGCCAGATTCTGTCTTAAAAAAAAAAAAAAAAAAGAAAGAAAATATTTTCTTAATTTCTAGGACAGCTAAAATTTGAGAACCACTGTTCTAAAGAAATGTAAACAAGGAGATAATGGAAAGCCAGACTGCAGGTATCTTTCTTCAGCTGTGGGCACAGGAGCTCGACAGGGACACCCAGGCACCCGACATGAGAATTCCTGGGGTGATGCCAGCCTCCCTGTGTGGGCCTCAGGTATGCAACCACAGGGCATCCACCCTGACCCAGTGACGCTGCACAAGACTAATGAGCTCACATCAGACAGATGGATGCTGTCCACCTGTTCCTCGTTCATAGATCCTTCTCTCCCCACCCCCACCCCCAGCCCCAGATACTGGTTAAGATCTGCCTTCCCCCAGCCCCTTACCTGCACCACTGTTCTCCTGAACTGTTCCCCAGTTCCACCTTATCCGGTGGTTTTCACAGCTGGCTGTGTCTGACTCCTACGGTCCTTCTGGACAAGAACACTCTGTCTACAAACTGGGATAGAGGAACCACAGACGGGTGAAGGGGGAGCAGCAAACGCTCAATCTGTGCCAACTTTTTCCAAAAATGGAAACATTTTCAGCAGCTGTTTTCCAAACAGTTCAATCTTGGTTGTAGGTAAACGTACCACTTTTCTCACCCCTAGGCGCGTTACTGAACGCCTTGTTAAAGGGTGCAACTTACAAGTCGACGGTGTCAAATGCCACCAGCTCTTAAAGCGTGAAGGCTCAGCCCACCTCTACCCTGGAGGAACCAAAGCTGGTCCGCGGAACGTGCAGAGGAGCAGCTTGCAGCCACCCGCCCTCCCTTCCGCAGGTGTGATGCAGACCTCCCCAGGCAGCGCTTCGCAGCCCCTCAGGTCGTCCCCGGGGCTTGGACGCAGGGAGTGACACTGTCCTTCCTCTCCCACCAAACGTGCACGCCCGGCACCTCACCTCCTCGCCTCGGCAGACCTCCCTCCACCAACGCTGGCGTCCCCCAGCAGCCTACCTCTTCCCCCTCCCCCCACCATAACCTGGACCGCCAAACGCCGAAGGGCCCCACAAATACCAAGAAAAACCCAAGCCAAAGAGCAGGCGACGGGGAGTGGCCAGAAGGGAACAAGACGTACGAAAAGGAAGAGCGCCCGGAGGGAAAATAACGCCGCGCTCCCACTGCAGGGGCCTCTCCTGACCCCGTTTTTCTCCTTCCGGAGCGCTCCGCAGAGCACGGACTGGGAAAGGGAGGGCGACCCAAGCCAGAGCCCGAGGCGCCCTCTAACCCGCGCTACGTGGAATCCCCTCCCGGAATGCCAACTTAGGAAACGTTCGGGCGCACCTCGTCTCACCCCCCTTGTTACAGAACGGGAAGTGGGTCCAAGCGCAAAGCCCGGCCGGAGCGGAACGCACGAGCGACCGACCTGCCGCGAAGGACGCGCGCCCCGCCCGGCCCGCCCCCGACGGGAAGGCCGGTCCACTGCCTGCGCTCCTCCGGCCGCCGGCTGCTGGGGGCACTTCGGGGCTCAGGCTCCCCGCCCTGCGGGACCCCCGATGGCCGCGGCCCCAGCCCGGTTCCCCGCCAGCCTGTCCCCTCTCAGTGCCTCCCCGCACCCGGGTCCCGCAGACTTACGCGCAAGCCGCACGCAGGGCGCAGAAGCAGCAGCGCCAGCAGCAGAGGAAAGATGCGAACCAGGACCCCCGGCATGACCGCCAGCCTCCTGGCTCTGCAGTCGGCGCCCAGGCCAGCCCCTCCGCGTCACCTGACTAAGGACCCGCGGCCTGGCACCGCCCCTCGTCGGCCCAGCAGCCAGCCCTTGTGCCTGCTCCGCCCCGCGCTCCGCCTCCCGGTGGCCGAGCAGGGCGGGTGGGGGCGGCCAGGAGGCTGCGCTGGCGTGTGACTCCAGGATAGTACTATCGGGGTTTTGCAGGCGTCTGCTCGGGGAAGGGACCCTTTGGAACGGTAATCGGGAGGCCCTGCTTTCAGCAGCTTGATAACGCGCCTCGGGGATTGGACATTAATCGTGGCCTCCTTGTTCCCTGGCTGCCTTGAGAGAGCCAAAGAGGGAAATTGTTAATCACTAAACCTAAATGCCTTAGATCGAATCCGCGTCCCATATACAGGGCTCTCCGAAAAACTAAACGAGGGGTTAGCACAGTGAGATCGGTCCCTGGATCCACTGTATCAACTCACCTGGAATTTGTTAGAATGCAAATTCTGGGCCCGGCGCGGCGGCTTATGCCTGTAATCCCAGCACTTTGGGAGGCCGAGGCAGGCGGATCACTTGAGGTCAGGGGTTCCAGACTAGCCTGGTCAACATGGGGAAACCCTGTTTCTACTAAAAATACAAACATTAGATGGGCTTGGTGGCGCATGCCTGTAATCCCAGCTACTCGGAAGGTTGAGACAGGAGAATCGCTTGAAGCTGGGAGGCGGAGGTTGCAGTGAGCCGAGATCGCACCACTGCATTCCAGCCTGGGCGACACAGCAAGACTCCACCTCAAAAAAAAAAAAAAAAAAAAAAAAAAAAGGCATATTCTGGGGCCCAGAAACTCTGAATCAGAAGCTCTAGGGTCGGGGACCAGATATCTGTTTTGTTTGTTGTTGAAGCAGGAGTGTAGACCAGCCCATAACCAGTATTGACTTTTATAGTCATCTCTCCCACTGTTCGAGAACCAAACTAAGGTTTTTAGAAGATCCACAAGTTGTAGCAATACTGTTAAAGAAAAAACTGTTCTAGCACTTGTTAAAATGGTAAGGAAGGCTTTATTCGAGCCACCACACTCAGCTAATTTTTGTATTTTTAGTAGAGACAGGGTTTCACCATGTTGGCCAGGATGGTCTTGATCCCTTGACGTCATGATCCACCCGCCTCAGCCTCCCAAAGTGCTGGGATTACAGGCGTGAGCCACTGCGCCCAGACTGTACCTGTTTTTAGAATAACTTTAAGCAGTTATTTTTTACTTTTAAAAAGTTAAAAAGAAAAAAACCTTAGTTCGTGCCTTCGTGTTCAAAAAAAACCTTTTCTGTTGTATAACAAAATAGCCAGAACTCTATTTGTTCATCCATTTCTCCTTTCCTACTGGACATTTCCGTGAGAGATTGAGAAAGTATCAGTCACTGGCTTTTCTTTCTCAGGATTTTGTTTTTGTTTTGGGGGTTGTTTTGTTGTTTTTGTTTTTGTTTAGACAGGGTTTCATTCTGTCACCCAGGCTGGAGTGCAGTGGCACAATCATGGCTTACTACAGCTTTGGCCTCCTGGGCTCAAGTGATCCTTCGGTATCAGCCTACCAAGTGGCTGGGGCTACAGGGGTGCACCACCACACCCGGCTAATTTTTGTATTTTTTGTAGAGACAGGGTATCACCATGTTACTAAGGTGGATCTTGAAGTTCTGGGATCAAGCAGTCCACCTGCCTGGACCTCCCCAAATGCTGAGATTAGAGATGTGATCCACTGCGCCTGGCTTCTTTTCATGCCTGGAGTACCAGTTTTGTGTCCTTGCACCAAGAAGTCCTTTCCAAGCTCTGCAATTCTAGTTCAGTATAAAAGAGCAAGGACTCTGGAGGCAGTACACTCGAGGTGGAATTCCAGCTCCGCCACTTACCATCTGTGGACTGTGGACAAATTACTTAACCTCTCTGAGCTTCAGTTTCTTCGTTGGTAAAATAGAGATAATAATATCAATTTCACTGGGTAACTGGGGAAAGAAATTACCAGAGATGATGATAATAAGAGGCTTGGCATATACAGGATGTTAGTGGGACAGTTGATGAAATCAGAGTTAGACTTGCAGGTTAGATGAGTACCATGCATCAATGTTAATTTCCCATGTGTGTGTGTGTGTGTGTGTGTGCGTGTGTGTGAAAGAGAGAGAGAGAGAGTCTCACTGGAATGCAGTGGTGCAATCTGCGCTCACTCAACCTCTGCCTCCTGGGTTCAAGTGATTCTCTTGCCTCAGCCTTCCAAGTAGCTGGGACTGCAGGCATGCGCCACACGCCCTGCTAATTTTTGTATTTTTAGTAGAGATGGGGTTTCACCCTGTTGGCCAGGCTGGTTTCCAACGCCTGACCTCAAGTGATTTGCCCGCCTTGGCCTCCCAAAGTGTGGGGATTACAGGCGTGAGCCACCAGGCCCAGCCACATCAATGTTAACTTTCTGATTTTGATAATGGCACAAGGTCTAAAGATTGAATAATAGTTTTGTATTTGTATATTGATTTTGGTAATGGTTATATAAAAGAACATCCTTGGTTTTTAGGAGACAAAAGGGCATCTTTTTTTTTTTTTTGAGACGGAGTTTCGCTCTTGTTACCCAGGCTGGAGTGCAATGGCACGATCTCGGCTCACCGCAACCTCCGTCTCCTGGGTTCAGGCAATTCTCCTGCCTCAACCTCCTGAGTAGCTGGGATTACAGGCACGCGCCACCATGCCCAGCTAATTTTTTGTATTTTTAGTAGAGACGGGGTTTCACCATGTTGACCAGGATGGTCTCGATCTGTTGACCTCGTGATCCACCCGCCTCGGCCTCCCAAAGTGCTGGGATTACAGGCTTGAGCCACCGCGCCCGGCTTAAAGGGGCATCATTTTTGCAACGGACTCTCAAACAGTTCACACACACATACAAAAATAGGAGACAGAAATGGTATTCCAGGCATGAAAAGAACCTGAGAAAAAAAAGCAAATGTGGTAAAATGGTAACATTTGGAAAATCAATGAAGGAATTCTTTGTACTCTTTTTTCAACTTTTTTTTTTTCTAAGCTTGAAATCATTGCAGAATGAAGTTTAAAAACAAAACAACAAAATCCTTAGCACATGGCAGATTCAACTTTTTTACCTTCTCTCCTACTCTGTAGACTCAAGGTTATCATATGCAATAGGTATTTTTAACTGAGTTAAGGTAGAAAGTGTTTAGGGCAGGAGCTGGCAAGCTAAGGGCAGGGTATCAAATCTGGCCTGCTGCCTGTTTTTCTTTCTCTTTTTTAAAATTCTTTTTACTGACTAAGAATCTGTGCATTTTGCTGCCAGTTTTTCTATGGCCTGCCAGCTAAAACTTGATTTTACATGAATGAAAAAATATTAATAATAATAATATTTTATGACATTTGAAAATGATATGTTTCCAGCATCAGTGTCCATAAATATGTCCATAAATAAAGTTTTGTGAGGTTGGTTTTTGTTTGTTTTTGTTTTGTTTGAGACATGGTCTCGCTCTGTCACCCAAGCTGGAGTGCAGTGGTGCGATCACAGCTCACAGCAGCCTCGAACTCCTGGGTCCAAGCAGTCCTCCCACCTCAGCCTTCTGAGTAGCTGAGTAGCTGGGACTACAGGCGAGTGCCACCATGCCTAAATAATTTTTTTTTCCCTAAAGACCAGATCTTTCCTTGTTGCCAGGATTGGTCTTGAACTCCTGGCCCCAAGCAATCTGCCCACCTTGGCTGCCAAAGTGCCAGGATTACACATAAATAGTTTTCTTAGAACACAGCCACCTACCGTTCTCTTCACGTTGCACATGGCTGCTTTCACGCTACAACGGTAGAGTGGAGTAGTTGCCATCTTAGGACCTACAAAACTGAATATATTTATTTTCTAGCCCTTTACAGTATAATCTTGCCAAAGGAATATAGACTGTAGTTTATTTCTGAGATTTTTAGTACTCGATTTTGTATTGTAGTTGAAATAGCAACAGTAACAATAGCCATTGTTGTGCTGAATGCCTTACCAGTGTCACTATTCCTCACGATCTGAGTTGCATGCCATTATCCACATTTCACAGACTAGAAAGCTGAGACAGAGGAGTGAAATGACTTGCCAGTAGCTACAGCTCTGGGAAGCAGTAGAGTCTCTAAAGTTACGTTGCCTGACGTTAGGGCCTGAGTTGTTAACACAAGGCTATACTTCTGCCCATAGTGTACTGTTTAGTTCCTGTTTAAATGCACAGATAAAGTGTGCCGGGATGCAAAGCCCCCTGCATACTGGAAAATATGTAGGAACCACGAGAAGGCTGTCACCCTGGCCAGGCGCAGTGGCTCATGCCTATAATCCCAGCACTTTGGGAGGCCGAGGCAGGCAGATCACAAGATCAAGACATCAAGACCATCCTGGCCAACATGGTGAAACCCTGTCTCTACTAAAATACAAAAATTAGCTGGGCGTGGTGGCGCGCGCCTGTAGTCCCAGCTACTCAGGAGGCTGAGGCAGGAGAATCACTTGAACCAGGGAGGCGGAGGTTGCAGTGAGCTAACATCACACCACTGCACTCCAGCCTGGGTGACAGAGTGAGACTCCATCTCAAAAAAACAAAAGAGAAGGCTGTTGGC